AAGAATAGAATAGAAATAAAGATTTTTTTTTTAACTATTTTTTAATTATCGCAGTATTTTTTAGAAATGATTGAATTTAATGCATAAAAAACATGAAACCTCTTTAAATTTTTTGGAAGCTACACTTTCTGACACACACACACACTCTCTCTCTCTCTTTCTCTCTCACACACACACACACACACACACACACGCGCGCGCAACGATGCTTGTGTTTTAAATACAATTTAAGTATGTTTTTTATATTTATAACACACACTTCATAAATTTATCTAGTTACCAGAAAGCCTGGAGAGATTACGTGAAGTTCCGACACCTGCTCGCAAACATGTCGAAACCGTCTTTCGAGGATAAGAGAAAATTAGAGGCGAAGGAGAACAAGCTGCAGGAGTTACGTACGCAGAGCAAAATGAAGCGCGACGTCACGGTTGACGTCAGCTCCGAAGGATTTTACAGAACCGGCATTATGTGCGATATCGTGCAGCACGCAATGTTGATACCGGTACTAGTCTGCCATCTGCGGTTTCACAAATCCCTGGACAATCTGGAACGCACGCTGGGATACGAGTTCAAAAACCGGTACCTGCTCCAGCTGGCTCTCACGCATCCCAGCTACCGCGAGAACTTCGGCACAAATCCGGATCACGCGCGGAACTCCCTGACGAATTGCGGCATAAGGCAGCCCGAGTACGGCGACCGTAGGATCCACTACATGAACACGCGTAAGCGCGGCATCAACACCCTGATAAACATAATGTCCAGATTCGGCGCGAAAACGGAAACGGAGTCGTCGATAGCGCACAACGAACGGCTGGAGTTTCTCGGCGACGCGGTCGTCGAGTTCCTCACCTCCATCCACCTCTTTCACATGTTTCCGGATTTGGAGGAGGGCGGTCTGGCTACTTACAGAGCGGCGATCGTGCAAAATCAGCATCTCGCCGTGCTGGCGAAGAAGCTGAATCTGGAGGAGTACATGCTCTACGCTCACGGTAGCGATCTCTGCCACGACTTGGAGCTAAGGCACGCGATGGCGAATTGCTTCGAGGCGTTGATGGGCTCGCTGTTCCTCGACGGGGGGATAGAAGTGGCCGATCGGGTCTTCGGGGAGACGCTTTTCAAATGCGAGGAGGATCTTGGCAAGGTTTGGGTCAATTACCCACGGCATCCCCTTCAGGAGCAGGAACCGACTGGAGATAGACAGTGGATTCCCAGCTTCGAGCTGTTACAGGTATTACTCGGCGCGTTTGAACAAACTCCTCCCAACTGTGAGAAACGCTTCTTTCTTATATATTTTCCTATGTTACCAGAAATTGACCAAGTTCGAGGAATCAATCGGTATAGAATTCACTCATATCCGTCTTCTCGCTAGAGCGTTCACGGATCGTAGTATAGGGTATACCAATTTAACATTAGGATCTAATCAACGGCTAGAGTTCCTAGGAGATACTGTGTTGCAGCTCATTGTTTCTGAATACCTGTATAAGTACTTTCCGGAACATCATGAGGGACATTTATCGGTAAGTGATATGTTGTTCACAGACCGTTTTGATAATCATCTTTTTCTACCAAAGTTATAATATTTGTCACAGTTGTTGCGGAGTTCCCTCGTAAATAATAAGACGCAGGCGGTTGTCTGTGACGATCTCGGTATGACTCAGTACGCGCTTTATGGAAATCCAAAGGCCGAATTGAAGACGAAAGACAGAGCGGATTTGTTGGAAGCTTTTCTCGGCGCGCTTTACGTCGACAAAGGTTTGAAGTATTGCCACGTATTTTGTGACGTATGCTTCTTCCCACGTTTACAAGATTTCATCATGAATCAAGACTGGAATGATCCAAAGAGCAAGCTACAGCAGTGTTGCTTAACCTTAAGAACTATGGACGGTGGTGAGCCAGATATCCCCGTGTACAAGTAAGTTTTTAATCTTTTGGCTATAAAAGAAGCCTCTTTAATGTTATACATATACATATATTGCTAGAAATATATGTCACAAAGATTAAATAGTTGCAAGGAAATATTTTTATTAATAATTTTATGACTTATTCTTTCTTTAGAGTTATCGAGTGTAAAGGACCGACTAATACAAGGGTTTATACGGTCGCTGTATATTTCCAAGGAAAACGTTTGGCTACAGCTTCAGGACACAGTATCCAAGAAGCGGAAATGAATTCTGCCAAAGAAGCTTTAGAAAAGTCACAAGGTATGCACATAAAAATAATTATATTGTAAGCAAGATAACTCAAAAGTTAATAATCTTTATAGATCACAAATATAGAATCAATCTTTTTTTAAACAAAATTCGACAGGTTATTGTCCTTTCTCACGTAATTTTGTAATATTTTAAATATCTCTATTTCTTTAAATATAAAATGTACATGAGATTTTGAATTAAAAATCTTATTAAAGTATAATTGACATGAAACTGAACAAAGAATAAACTGTTATTTATAATTAAAGTTTAAAGTAGTCTATTTTAATTAAATAATTGCAATATATTTAAATATTTAATAAGAAAAATTTGATTATTTTGTAGACTTATTCCCGCAACTGGATCATCAAAAACGTGTGATAGCAAAAAGTATGAAGATGCAACAATGGCCGAACAAACAGAAAGTAAAGGGAAAATCTGAAAAAAGGCCCTATGACAGATCCGATGATTCGGATTGCAGTCAAAGTCGGAGAAGAAGTCGTAGTAAAGAACGTACCTCGAAAAAAAGAGAAACTTAATAATAGTTTATACTATAAACTGTTACATAAATAATTCCTGATTATTTTATTGTTGTCAATATATAATAAATATATACATATAAATGATTTTTATTTCCGTAGAAGAAAACACAAAAATATAAAAGTGATATTTTTACAGCTTCACATGTATATTTTCTAGTATTTGTATTTTTTGTTCCATGACAGAATAATCTTGATTTTCATCCTTCAAATTCTTTTCATGTACCAAACAAACAATATGAAAAACATCGATATTAATGCTAATATCATGTGATGTAAGCAGAATTGAAAAAATGCACTTGTATTAGTATGCGTGTATGTTACTGATATGACAATTTAAAATTTAAACTATTTCTATTTTATTTCCATTCTATTAAAATGCGCAGATCCAGATCATTCTGACATAGAACGAAGAACATATGTATAAATCTTATACAAGTCTTCTTTTTTGCTAGCAATTGATATCTGGCCTACTTTTATGTACATTTAGTTACAGTTCAGAACAGATTTCAATTATTTATCTCGTTGTGTCAATATTGGACTGTCTTGGTCCAATAAATACATATTTTCATTAATTATAGTGTTACACTTTTCAATATTATCACAAAAATTTCCCAACTCCCAATGTTTCTTCAATATGGCAAGATTCAGATCAAATAACGCATACCGGAAACATTGTATTTGAGTGCACGTAGCGACACTATGGAGCTGCATTCCCAGTTCGTGAACCAAAGTTTTCAAATACATATCATTCTCATTTATGCAAACAATTTCTGAAAAAAAAATGTCAAAAGTGTATCATTATCGTACAATACGCACGGTTTATATTTAACAGATGCTGTAACATTTACCTAATGTGAATTCAGGAGATGTAAAGTCTATACATTTTATGTTATATATCATTGGAATATTTTTGTCACCAGGTCTCACTGGACCTTGTACAGCCAACTCGTATGCGGATTGGCTTTGTATATCTAATCCACATAATCTAGAAAAGAGTTATAATAAGAGTCATAAGAGCTACATAAATTAAATTTATTAACAATATTCAGGATTGGGAAGTAACGTGTTACTTGTTACGTTAACGTAATGTTGTCGTTACAATTAACAAATGAGAAACGATGTCACAGCTTTATTTGTAAAGCAATTAAATTTTTTTGACAGTAACTTAAGTAAAGAATATAATCATTATTTTTATCGTTACTTTATACGATGTGTATTATATGTATTATATACATGCAATATATATGGAATATGCCCAACCGAGTTATAAAAGGGAGCGTTATGTTTGCCCAGGCGATTAATCGTGATCACCCAGATCTGTTGAACTGATTAATTAGTGACAGACAACTGGATGTCATTTTAAAAGAAAAAATTAAAATTGTATTTTTCTATTAAAATTCGATCAAAAAGTAACGGACATTGTAACGACTCATTAGTTTTTCAGTAATGATAATAGTAATAAGTTACTTTTTTTATGAGTAATAAGTAACGATAACGAATTATTTTTCAGAAAAGAGAACGATAATTGTTACTTTTAAGAAAAAAAGAATAATAGTAATGAATTACTTTGCAGGAAAAAGAATGGTAACAAGTTATCATTATTTTTTCTTTACAAAGTAACTTCTCAACTCTAATAATATCATACAACATACTCAAACATCTTTTTTTGATGAGCGGCCTGCATGGAAGCGCATACTTTATCAATTATACTGCGCTTAATAGACTTGTATGTAGCTTTCTCGACGATTTTTCCGGTTATAAAATATGTGTCTGTTGCCTGTCCCAAGAGGCCTTTAACTCTGTAACTAGTCGGAGACTTGGAATTCTTCAGTTTGTGAGCCCACTTGGTACCATCATTAATACCACAGACCATGAGTCCGGACATGTCTTTACTCAGATAATTAGCGCATATCAATTTGATATCTTTAGGCTGATATCGTGGACCCACGACCAGTGGGTGATCCGCGTAGCTCGGATGTGTAATTACCTTCATCTTCTTGGTTGTATCACCTTTTATGCACACGTGTGTGATCGGTGGACGAACATGCATACGGTTCAAATCTAAAAATCATTGAATTGTTCTTGAGAAAAGTTTGTATTTTTTTTTTAAGTATTAAAATCATCTTAATTATACTCTTTATGTAAGTATCCATTTCTTACTTGTTCAATATAGCATATTTTAAATATAATGAGAAGTGGTAAGAGGAGACAGAGAGCCGCTTCTTTCAGCTGCATTATTTTATATTTAAAATAAAACAATATATTTGTACTCGGGAGAAACAAGGAAGAATTTAATTAAATAAAGCATGAAATATTATCTATCATCTACCTATAAGACATTACCGTAGAATAAGTTTCAAGGTGTCATAAAGATATTCTAACCTTCACAGATACGAAAAATTATGGTATCCCGTGCATTAAAATACGTGACCATTGGTGGTTTGTAAACAGCGAGTACTCCATTCAATGCTTTCCACGCTATTCTAGCGTCATAAACGCACTGTTTCACTTTCGGGGTGAGAGTGTTCATCTTAATTCTTGTCGAAAAATTCGATAGTAAACAATATTAAGGCCCCGCTTTCCGTTCGCTCTCACTGACAATACAAGCGACAGCGCATCAGTGATTCTGTAATTTTACGGATTCTTTCTCGAATTTTATAACAGATACTAAAGAAGAATCATTTTTATATTAATAAGATTAAAATATCAAATCATCACCACACAATATTACTTATATACCGATCAGTTTACATATGCAAATGCATATGTAATATGTATATCTCCTGTCTGGCTGTCTTTTGTCGGTCCTAACTCCTACCCTTTGAGTATTAAATATAATATATATAATTAAAAATATAAAATTAATTAAATATAATATAATAAATATAATATAAATAATATATATAATAATTAATTAAATATAATATAATAAATATAATATAAATAATATATATAATAATTAATTAAATATAATATAATAAATATAA